TGCTTATGGGGGGGGGGGGGGGGGGGGGGTACTCATAGTCGTGCATGCCGTAGTCGTTAGACTATTGACCTCGCATCCCTACAAAGCCGGGACGGAGCACGCCGGGTTCTCACCGGACCAGGCTCTCACATCACCAAGCGCGAAGCGCCGTGAGGTATTCGGCGAGTCGCATGAAGGGTGAGCTGCATCCTGCTAAGGGTGTTCGGCATCTTGTGCTTACTTCCTTGCGTACGCATGACAGCTGCGTATGACTTAATTTTGTTTCTGGTGCTTGCACTTCCAGAGACAGTTGTAAGAAGGGTGTAACTGCCTCGAGGATGCTTGACCAATTAAACACAACGTGGTGCGATCATCCCCTTTGCGCGGAGTGACGGTTTTCGACCCCGCACAAAATAATCTACTCGGCCACCATTCATGGCTACCGCAAAAAAAAAAACCGGTAAATTGGTTGCCGAGCTCACGAAGTGATCGGCTTGTTTTGCAACATCGCTTCCAAGCGACGAAAACCCAACCCGATGGCAAACACTGGGGCGGGGCGGTGGGGGGAGATACAGCAGCGCCGTGTGCACTCCTTCGAAAACACCAAGTTTTAAAGCGCGGCCTGGACGTTTCCATTTCACCAGCATGTTTTCTTATGGTCACATGTCCTGTGCATGCCGTAGAAGGAACAAATGCCCCACGAAACAAAAAAAGAAAACGTAACGGCGAGCATCAACGACCCCCAGATAGCAACAGCAACAACCGTCACGACATGCAGCGACCACTACAACAGCAAATATTCATCTCCAACAACCAGAAAAAACAACAGAAGTAGTCACCACGTGCAGCGACCACTTGCAACAGCAAGTCTTCAAGTTCAGCAACAAACAACACCGCAGTAGTCAATACAGCAGGTGCATCTGCCGCCTATGCTCAGACTCGGGTAAGTCACCTCCTTTAGCCGCTTCTGAGACCGCTTCTCCCCTCTGAAGGCGTCGTTGACGATGGAGTCGTACTTGCCTCTCAAGGACAGCAGCCCTTGGACGAACGCCACGGGATCCTTCGCGCTTTCCTGGGGACGTCACGCACGGACATCAAAAACAAAAAGAAGAAGACATACAACGTGGGTTGCGTGTGTCGTTTTTGGGCGGGCATGAGCCGGTGTGTGTCATAAAACATCCAAGGGATCACAAAAAAGTTATGGTTCCAGTGACGTCATACGCAACGGAACGCCTCTTTGAAGAGCACTCCAGAGCACAAGCGATCAACAACGAGCGAAGGAGTACGAACACAAGAACAGGAACACCGGTGAGAAGGCAACGTCCTTTGCTACTATTACGTTGCACCTGGTGCATCGCCGTCATTGGTAGCTATTGCACCTGTTGCACCGTCCCAAACCGCTCCATACGTCACAAGACTCGCCGCCAGAGACATAATGACAATCCCCACCTGATCTGTCACGAGTGCCTTCCCGGTGGCCTTGACATACTCGCACATCGACCTCCGCAGGTCGTCCAGGGTAACCGGTACTCGAGAAAACAGGTCGTACATCCGCCGAAGGTCCTCGATCTAGCGCATAGGCAGTCGCACACGAGCGGGATAGTCACGTATATATGTATGATAGGGGGGAGACAATCAAGCACAAATAGATATGAATACTTGGTATACAAATAGGTCAGACAGCCACATAGAGGTGGGATAGCCATAGGCGGGACGGTCACAAGCAAGTGAGATAAGTCACACATAGATGGGGACAATCATACGTGGGTGGATTAGTCACAAAAAAAAGAATGGAGAGGCGCAACACACCCCAACCGCCGAAGTTGGGGGAGCCGAAGCGGCAGCAGCAACAGCGGCAGCGGCAGGAGCAGGAGTAGCGGCGGGAATAGGGCAGCTGTAACACCCGAAGAAAAAGCCGTGATACAGAACACACCCCAAAACCTGTCACTTGATTGGCGTCCCCTTCGTCGATCGAGCTTTCCAAAACGTTCCGACGGGAGGGGGGTGGTATCTAAAGCAACTTGTCCACTTCTCAAGGCTGCGATGAGCAACACGTTGCGTATCCCGCCCCCCCCAAAAGGCCAGCCACGGTGTCGCTCCCCACCTTGTCGTCCCTGAACATCGACGTACACCCCGAGTTCTCCATCTCCACCAACACCTTGGCGTGGTTGCGGATCAGCTCCGTCTCCACGATGTGCTTGAGCTTGGGCTCGGTGCCGGCGGCCAGGTAGTTGATGCTCCTCGCCGCCTCCTCCCCAAGACGGTCCTGGAGGGGTACGCAATGTTTGTTGTTGTTGTTGCTGCTGCTGCCGCTAGGGCTGTCGTCCATCTTCACACGAAAAAAAACAAAAACATCTCGACGCTAAACAGTTGGAAAAAAAAAAAAAAACTCCGGCAGAAAAGTAACAAGTGAGGCACTTTCCTACTACTGGAGTGCGAACTTAAGCCACCAGCAAAACAGGTTATTCCGATTGACGCAGGCGGACGACGCAACACGGTCAGGCTCGAGAACAAGACAAAACGAAAGCGCCCAACTGCGTACCCCCGGTGAACTCGACACGCAAAGACACAAAATGCCGTGCTCTTTTGGGTCGCAGCAAAACACTTCTCTCGGCGAGGGATGGTTGCTTGTGCGTTCCACCGACACTCACCTCTGCCTTCTTCATGTACGCCGGGCAAGTATTTCGGGCGATGAACTCCTGTCCATTCCCCACGTGACACATGGCCCCACCAGCAATAGCAGCAGCAGTAGCAGAAGCAGCAGCAGCAGCAAAAGTCAACCAACAGCGCGAAGTCGATCGGCGGCGGGGAGGACGGCCGCGTGTGGAGGGGCGCAAGCGCAAGCGCAAGCGCGCGAGCGTGTGCATGTTTCCGTATATTGTGCAAAAATAAGGAGGCGCGGTGACCACCCACTCAATCAGTCAAACCTACAAGTGACGGTTGTCATTCTGGCTGCAAGAATCGTTCGAGCACACACGTGCACGTCACACGGCTGGAAAAGGATGGACTCCGCTCAACTCTAAAACAATATCAATTCCCACGGGCTTTCACCTCCTGGTTAATCTCGCTGGTCATGCAGCCGATGCTGTTTTAGTACTCCGACCACGCCCCCCCCGGCCTCGCCGCAACCTGCACGGCACCATTTCCCCGCAAGTCTATTTTGCCTCTGCAACAGTATTGCCCCTCAACGCCAATGCCCCGCAAACGGGCACCTGGCTCCCGGCCCGGTAGAAGGCTCGCGTCGTGGACCTATGACCCCTGCAGCACAATTTACTCCGCAAAGTTACAGCAATTCCACCGCAATGCCTCAAGCCCCGCAACTGCAACCGCGCACCTGGCTCTCGGCCCGGTAGAAGGCTCTCGTCGTAGCCAAGAACTCGTTCTCGAAATCCTCCTCGTACACCGCCACCCCGTCCACCCCTAGCCCGCTCAGCATGGACAGCGACGTCTTCATGAGGTCCCGGTCGATCAGGCGGCTGGCGCGCTCGTCCGCGATGTTCTGCGGCGCGTGTAAGTACGCCCCGCAAGCCCCCAAGCCGGTCAGTCAGTCAAAGGGGGGGGGGGGGGGGGGGGGGG